TCCTCCTCCCTAGGAGATGAGTGTCAAATCTTCCACTATCCATAACAAAGTACTTCATTCCGCAACAAGCACTGTTCTACCTCGCTGAGTATAATAAGGCCATTTTCAGTATATGATAATTTGCACAATCTACTTTGATCATATATTACAAATGCATGTGTTAGATTTCTATTCCTGGTTTTGGATAGGCTTTCTTCTATTTCCGATTCCAGCTTTAATGATCTATTCGGTAGGTGCAGATGCACAAACGTTTCCCTAGAACATACGCTATGACGAAGGTTGCGTTCAAACTTTGCGTCCGTGCGAAAGGTGCAGACGGTGCGGACACTGCGGAAAGAGCGAAATGCGTCGATGTGGGATGCTGGCGTATGATTCGTGCTTAGCGCGCAGTCGGTGCTTAAAAGCGCATCATATGTTAGCGGTGTGTATTGACCCCTTCGCAGTTCGTTCGAGGCACGACAGCGCGTCTAATACGCATCATGCGTCAGTGTCTTGTATTGGCGCGCTTCTCAGGGTCTTCAATCGTCCCCACCGTTCACGCGTCGCACCGACGCAAAGTATGAAAGCAACCGAAGTGACAGATCCAAAGGAACCGCCCCTGCGTCTACGGACGAGTTGTCGGTGTGGCTAGCTATGCCGATAACACGTCCAAAAATGCAAGCGGATTTCCACTTGACCGCATCTCCTACTCAAAGTCCAGAAAAGCTCTCTCAATGATCGATGAATAGTTTCAGATCTATTCCCAGTATAGTATTGGCAACAATATCTATCCATTGTTCAAACGAAATCCAGACCTGTGGGGACCACGAACACGTGCCAATCGTGTAGAAGCTGAACGAGCTGAACGAATGATCCGACAATGGTGGTAGATAGTTGAAAAAAGTGAAACAAAATAGACCGAATCTGAAATCAAAGCCAGCAACACGAAATTTACCACCATATCGTGTTGTTATAAAAGGTTTCTTAAAGTTCTGTAAATACGTGGAACGTTGGAGGAAAAGGTGGTCGTTCAGAGCGATATGAATTGCCACATTTACACGATTACTGGGAGGTAGTCTCACTCGTGGAAGCTTTTCAACTTCTATGGAACTTAGAACTGAAGCCGAAAAATTTAAAAGTGATGATGCGGACAGATTAGGCCTAATATACTGCCAAGGTACCCGCCAAGAGGCCCGTCGCGCGGCGGGAAGGCAGAGACGCAGACGGGTCAGCAGGACAAATCGTGGCGTGTGCTGTGTAGAGTGGAACGTACTATAGTTCATTCTATTCATCTGATGCCAGATCACTGCATTACGTGCTGCGACTCGTCCGCTCATGCGTCTGCGTCCCTGCCTTCTCGACGCGACTGGCCACCTGTCAAGTACCCTATACTGCCGTTGCATTTGCTATCAATTTTATCGCTTCACTCCTTGCTTAGAGAGTCCACCTAGCAGATAGGCCTCCATATTTGTGACCAGTATTCTTGACCCTGTCGATTTATCAAGGCCCTCCTTCAAAATTTTATAGGAAGCTGAAAGGCTCCCCTGGTCAGAATCTGCACTGTGCCTCTCTCGCCTTTTAATGGCTCTGATTTCAACAACTTCAAAGGTCTCAAGCGCTACTGTAAAACGAAGACAGCCCACTCGGTAATGGTGCGTTAGACCAAAGGCAGACGGCATCGTAAGAGAATGTTGAATGGGGAAAAGTGCACGCTATAAAGAGAAGCTGAGCCCCTAATTGAAGGCTTTATGGCGCTTTCGCGAAAAATAGTGCTCCAGTGACGGTGTAGAAGGACTGCCCATTTATCTTGAGCAGTATGCAGCAACCCCGACCGAGGATGAGTTCCAAAACTCTGCATATCTGGATGAATCCCCCTATTCTTGACATGGGGTGTGCGTCATTGACCGGTGAAGTGACGCAGAGTTTTGTAGACCCATTCCCCGGCTGGCTACTGCTGTACGGCATTTGGACCAAGGTCAACCGTCACGTTGGACCGATTTCGAAAATTTTACGACCCCCTCCCCCTTCTGGAGGGCCTCGATACGACCCCCCCCCCCAGGGCCAACCCTCACGACCATCCTCCACCACCCTCGCCTGCCGGGGGGCGATTCTATAGTATTTGATTCTGAGACCAGTCGACACAGCCCAACTCCGCCCACTTTTCCCTCCAAAATTGCCGTCGAGCGGGGGGGGGGGGTAAGCCCAGCCTACAAGAATCCACTATCCGTTCCATAAACATCCCTTCCCTTACTGTAACATTGACGCTACCTCGCGAAATACGACCCCCCTTTTCCACCCCCAAATACGACCCCCCACCCCTCGTTGGACTTTGTCCAACGGACGGTTGACCCTGATTTGGACTCCTGCTTATGCAAACTTTGCTGGACAGATTGAGCGGTAGTTTTTCCCTGTCTAACTAGCAGTCTTGCAAAAAGGTAGACAAGCCTTGATGGTAATGACGTTGGCATCGATGAAATCCTCAAATTTGAGAAGCGAAAAAAGCTGTGTTTCTGCATACGGTCATACTGAGATGTTTTCATTGCGGAAGCACGAATCCGACTAATTTGTTCGCACTTGGCGTGTGAAATGCAAGCGGTTAGAAGTGACAGCTAGACTTTTTGTCTGTTTACCCACACCCCGTAGTTCACGGCCAATTCCGTGAAATTGCGCTCCATTCTCCATTGTAAACTACTGAAGAATCATAGGATCCACAAAGAGGATTTGGTTTGTATTGATAAGGAGCACAGGAGAACCACTGACTGGACCTCGGAAAACGGCTTAAGCCGTTTTGGACACGTGAGCACCTGAATGAGCGTGCATTATGATGTTCCTGCTGTAGTCACGTACAATGCGCGACGTATTGACGCGCTTAAAGCGTGTGCTCGCATCCCCTTTATCGTTTTCTTTGCGCCCTCTCAACGGAGAGAGAATGTGTCGAGCAGGCCCGCGCAGAGTACTAAGCGCCGTTTATGTAGAAGGTGGTTGATTGCCACACGACCAACTGCCGCCTCACATTGGCTGCAACGGGGGGGGTCGTACTGGTTGAGTTTGTAGGAGGGGGGGGTCGTACCCACTTTAGTCGCTCGAAATCACGTGTGGGATTGAGGTGAAACTAAGATTTCGTGGGTAGTAGGCTAGGTGAGTGGAGGGCGCGCAGGATAAAAATTTTACAAAATATACCCCCCCGCTCGACGGCATTTTTGGAGGAAAAAGTGGGCGGGGTTTTGATGGAAGATGGAGATGGTGGAGGTGTGGAAAAGGGGGTCGTATCAAATCCACGTTGGGGGAGGGGGGTCGTAAAAATTTTTCAAAAGTAACAACGATAGGATCGGAGATCACCTCCCCCGCGCGAGCGGCGAGGCGAACGCTGCGCTACGTCGCAGCCTGGCCGCGCAAGCAGGGCGGGCGAGACGCTGCGACGTCGCTCCATTTTTGGATCGCTGCCCAGGATGGCAGGGTAGCGTTTGCATAGCAAAGTAGCGTCGTTGATTACGTTCGCTCTCACACTGTACGTGACTGCGGCAGGAACATCATAATGCACGCTCATTCAGGTGCTCACCGTGTCCAAACGGCTTGAAGCCCTCGAAAACACATTGCCATTCCCCATCAATATTTACTATCCTTCATACTTCGTATTTCCAATGCGGATTCTGTCGTTCTGTTTTTTCATTGGGAACAAGAGACTGACCGTTCCCGATTGAAGGGTGCATGGCTATGCAATTCTGCTCGAACGCGCGAATATGGAACGGAAAATGATTTGTGTGTATTCTCCCATGACTCTTCATACAAATGATATAATCATGGTCAGGAATATTCAGGGTAAATGCCCAAAGTGTCGCGGATAGCGATTATTCCTGTATTGGGAATGGATGTTTATTTGAATGTCAGGATAGATGGTGACAGTGCAGGGAGTAAAGAAAAACCATTGACAAAACGTCAGAACCTGGGAAACATGGGCTTCCTAAGTTGTCTGACTTGCGCATTGATGCGGCTTTCACCGTTGCTGTCCCCTTCAACCTAACACTATGCCGAACGGTGGAGTCAGACGGTGGGAGGGTGGGCGTGTCGCGGCGAGAGCATAGTTCTCAGCCCGCTGGGGGCTGCGCAACGCGCATCGCCCCACTCCATTAAAGAGCCTTGGTAGGTTGGATCTCCCATCTTCGACCTACTACCTTATCGTGGAATCCTTCTCACGGACGCTGGCAACATGACCCCGATTACGTGATTACTTGAGCTTTCCTACCCGGGTTCTGCCTACCCATTCTAGTTCTATAGAAGTAGAACTTCATGACACCAGTTTACCCCTCCTCCCCCCCCCCCTCAACTCCCGCTCGGCGGCTGTTTTGTAGGAAAAGTGGGCGGAGTTGGGCGTGTCGGAATCGAGTGGTCTCAGAATCAATTAGTATCAAATACTTGAGAAACACCCATGATGGGAAGGTCATGGTCGGGGATGTTGGAGGGGGTCGTAGTGCCCTCCAACTAAGGTTGGTGCTGGTGGTAGAGGGTCGTATAGAGACCCACCCAAAGGAGGGGTCGCAAGTTTTTTGAAAGAGTGCAAACGTGACGGTTGACCTTGCTCCAGCGCGGGGGTTCATATTTTCCCACGCTTCTCGAAGCTGACGGGATGAGAAATTGAACGTTTTGCACTTGTGCTCACTGCTTCATTGCTCCTTCCCTAATTCCTTGTGTACTCAAAGATAGGGCATTGATTCGCGCGCGTCTGATCGATATTCATTTTCACGGACATGAAGCTAGTGTGGTTGGCCTAGAGTGACTTCAAGTAGTGCGAATTCAGCTCCAGTCAGTAACCTCGCAAGGAGATCAGCGCGAATACCTTAGCTTGGATGCTGCCATGGGACCATTCGGGCCTGATCGGTTCACCACGGCGACAGAAGGTCTTGTATGGGCGCTCTAGCCATGGAAGTGGGAGGGGAGGACATTCAAAGCAGGGTCGGTGGTAGGCACCACCAGGACCAATCCAGGATAGGGAAAAACGCCAGGGAAAGCACAACTTACTCACATCCTCCCCCAGAATCCCTTCCCTTCCCTAAGATTTAGTCCTGAGTGATGCAAGTGGTTCACTCACTTGATACCCCCACCCCCTCCCCCCTCCACCCAATGACATTAGCACCAGAAGAAGTGAAGGACTCTATGTACAGCTGCAAAGTAACAATGCCGTTCTTGTGTTCACAAACAATTTTTAAAATTTTTTATTGTTAGTAAGTCAGTAAGGGGGACGACGACGGACGTGTCACTGACCAACTGCCTCGACCCGATTCTTCTTGTCCTCCTTCATCATGTGCTCGGTAAACGTCTCCGTTCGAACGAACTTGCCATCAACCACTTTGTTGTCGACTTTCGTGTTTTCTGTGTGAACCTGCGCGTTCGGGAACGGAGGCAAGATCGGCGGCCTGTCCTTCGGCAACATCGATTCACCGGTTTCAGCTTCCGGCTTCTGTGTTGTTCGTGACACTTCAATCTTACGATCATACGTTTCCCGAGTGTAAACCACAACCCTCTTTTTGCCGTCTGGGGTCGTCTCACTTGCCTGAAACCGATACATGACCATTGGGTACCGATGAGCCATCAAGAACCCACCAACGAAGAACAGGCACAGTGGCGGGGAGCACCAGTGCCCAACGCTTCTCGGAGGTGCTACCATCCACTGACCGTACTCTTGCAAAGTCAAGCCATACTTACCATCCTCACGTCAGTCGCCGTCAAGTAAGTAGAAGTAGTGAACACTGAGACATACCAGCTATCCCACTGCTTATTTTGCTAGTGATAAGCAGTATGATATGAAAAAGAATATTATCAAATGTAATCATTCTCGCACATCACTGAAATGAGCCTCCAGTTCACGATCGGCTGGCCTAGCTTGTAACTGATAGGCCTGAAGAACTTCTTAAATTGAAGGGTGAAAAGAATCGAAGCACTCCTTCGAACAAGGTATTGAAGTGTCACAGCGTTTTTCTGAGCTCTTCTGTCGTTTGGCTGTAAAAAAGAGGTGTTTGGCACTGGCAGCTCAGAAGAGGTATTTTTCCCTGCTCGGTGGCGCGCAGGAGTAGTTTGGGCGCTCGTACTGGGGGAGAAGGAGGGAGAGGGGGCACATTCAAGTGAGAGGGCCATCTACAGCACCTGAGACAAAGCTTCAGGGGTTAGCGGTTTCTTTGGGGGACAT